TCATGAATATGAAGGAGGTTTTATGCATGTTTATGACAACTGTCATTAAGTGTCATTCGCTCAGTTATGTCATTTTTTATGCAAATATGACATTATTTGACCTAACCCTTACCTAACCCTACCCTTACCCCTAACCATAGCCCATAACAAAGACATCTCAAACAATGTCATCTTTGCATTAAAAATTACATAACTGAGCGAATGACACTTAATGACAGTTGTCATAAACATGCATAAAACCTCATGACATGTGTCATGTCATGATTACGAAGGTGCCATGTCAGTCTTATGCACACCCCTTCACGCAAAGTGTTACCCCCTTTTTCAGCTATTTTAAAGTATTGGTTGGTTGTATTAACTATTGTGAAAACATTTGAGAGTTTTGTGCACATTGGTTAGAGAAAATTATTTGCATGATTTGTAATTTGTATAAAATGACGTACAATCTGTTTAGGAAAATTACAAAGTATTCAGATCACTGTGTTAACAGTTTTGAGAACAGTGACCTGAGTTTGGACACATGTGTCAAATCGATTGAGAAAAGCTGTAATGGCAAAATGAATGTTTGGAAATGTAAACTGATATTTTCTACTGACACACTACAGCAAAAGATAGAAATAACTGACTTCAAACCATTTTTAGCTGGTGACAGTACTAGTGTTCTAATGATTTTGGCCACTGTACCTTTAGGGGTACAAGAACATGTCACTGGAGCAGTACCCTTAAAAGGAAAACGTTGTACCTTATCTACTATTATAGGGACAGTTGTGGCCTAATGGTTAAAGACTCAGACTTATAAACTTGTAAACAAGTCTCAGTACCGGCAGGAAATGTAGGTAGGGGAAGTTAATGAACAGTGCTTGGATGGGTGAAATGCAGAGGACAAATTCCGAATATGGTTTACCATACATGGCCTTTGCATCACTTCATTTTACTTTAAAATTGATTAAAAGTAATATGCCCTCATAAGGTGCTACAATTTACCTTTTAGCAGTAAATAAGGTACAAAGATGTTCCTTTCAGGGTACTGCCCCAGTGACAAGCTGTTGTACCCCTTAAAGTTAGAGAGATTTGACTGCAATATATCATGTAATGTAAATTGATATTTCCTACTGACACACTACAGCAAAATATATTTTGGCCACCACTGTACACACACACACACACACACATATATATATAATTGTAACGAAATTAATGTCAAACTTATTTTTTTTATTTTTACATTATTTTCATTACAATTTAAGTCAGTGTAAAATTAATATTTAGCCTATGTATTTTGTAAATGCACGTTATACATAATTTTTTGTAAACAATTATTCTGTGCATGTACGGTTACGCCTGTTGTTAACACTACTCCGGCATTTTCGACCCTCAAAAACGGAGACTTTTGAAAACGCTGCAGACCCTGTTTTAGTTTGAAAAGTCCAGGGTTGCGTTTCAGTGTAAACGGACCAAACGGAGACTTTTGAAAACGATGGCGTGGCTGCCCACTTTCGCTCTGCGTATCCTTGACAAACGTGTAAACAATAACAACATGCTCATTGTTGTACTCATAGATATGCATAGGTAGATTCCCCATTCGACCGCTCCAAGCACGTAGACACGCGTCCACCATCTAAATAATAGGGCATCTACCTATTAGAGCTGCATGATTCTGGATAAATTGAGAATCACGATTTATTTATTTTTATTTATGTTTTTATTTATTTTTTTGTCTCAAATAGAGATCACGATACTCCCATGATTCTGAACTAAACAAAATAATGTAACAAAATATTATTGCTGCAGTCTATTTAAAATTGTTTAATTAATTTGAATGAATTATTAAACATTTTAATATGTATTTAAAATATAATATATTTAATACACCAGTTATTAATATTAAAATTATGAAAAAGTTTCACAGATTCACTCATAAATACTTAACTTGTTTCATTACTGTATGATCAGCATTTTTTTTTAAATCTCTTGAATGAATGATTCAATGACAAATAAATTTTTTTAAAGTCGCTTGTCGCCACCTAGTGGTGAAACAATGCAATCGACACAAACCCAATTACTTTCAAAAGGGTATTTGCTCTGTTTATATATGAGCTATGAGCTTTCATCCCATTATTTCTGTGATAATATGAATGACTGTAAGACAGAAATAATACTGTGTAGTTGAAAAGACTGTTTGTGAAGCTGTTTCTTACTCAATCATGGTAAATGTCTGCTTTCTCTGTGTCAGCGGCAGTGCAAACGCAGATTTGAATGTTGCAATATGATTTTTACAAAGGTTTAATAGACACGAGCGAATTGTTGTTATTTAAAAATGGGATCGCATGGGTGTTTGAATCGAGAATGCGATTTATTTTTTAATGATTAATCGTGCAGCTGTACTACCAATACATATTTATGGTTGTACCTGCATGAATGGTCATATGACATTTTCGGTTGCATAGTGTGGACTGAGATCATTTCTGAAACGCAGTGAAAACACCAGTATAGACGAGGATAGTTTTCATTTTAAAATGCCGTTTTAATACCAAAACGCATTAGTGTAAACAGGGCCTTAATCTCGTTCCTCGCTCATGTCTCGCTCTCCTCCCTCCCTCACTCTTCCACACCCCTCCACATTGCCTCCATCCTCAGGTGTTTGAGAAGAAGAACCAGAAGGCTGCGGCGAGCATCGCCCAGCTGCAGCGCAAGCTGGAGCATTACCACCGGCGTCTGCGCGAGGCGGAGCACAGCGGCGTGCAGCGGCAGCCCAAAGACATGCTGCGCGACATGCAGCAGGGCCTGAGGGACGTGGGGGCCCGGGTCATCACGGGCCTCAGCGAGGGGGTGGTGGACAGCCTGGCCTCCAAACCGCGCGAGATCGCCTCGCTCATCCGCCACCGCTTCGGCAGTGCAGACAACATCAGTGTGCTGAGGGACGGGCCGGAGGAGGCCGAGGACGGAGCCTCCGCCACACACCTGCAGTCCAGCCCCAAGTTCGCCAGCGACGAGGACTGCTCCAGTGTCACCTCGGGATCCAACAGCATGACGGGGGCCCCTGGGGGCCCACCCAGCTCCAGGGGGAACACGCTGGAACGGGGCCACCACGGCAGCATGGACATGCTGATGCAGGAGCAGCAGGAGCAGCGAGACGTGCAGACGTGCCTGGAGGAGACGCTGGAGAGTGTGAGGAGCGGATATATGAAGGAGTGCAGGCTAGTGATGGAGGCGCTGCAGGAGGAGAGGTTCAGGTACACACACACACTCACACACAGATCACAGTACATACAGTCTAGAGCAGAGCTTCTCTTCTGGGTTTGCTTCAGGACCTAAATCATACTGGACATGCAGTAGCAATCCAGCACTGAACCACAAAAATCATATGTGAATATGGCTAGCCAGCAAGATGTTATACATTGTGATGATGGTCTAAAGTAGGACTGTGCAAATAATCGAATGCCATTATCATGCGCATCTCGTCAGTAAAGCCGGTTCTGTGATTAGTAGTAAATCTCCATCACCTGCTTTCAGATGGAGGAGCATTTACTACACAGAGCCGTAGTTCACTGACAAGCTACACAATATTGCGTTCATTATCGCCGCTGTATCGCCTGCAATTATGAACGCGATATTGCATAGTGCGATATTGTGATTATCGCATTCAATTATTTGCACAGCCCTAGTCTAAAGTGTCACTGGTTTTTATAGAGCTTATGCTCTTTCGTTTATATCTGCTTGTAGTCATTAACACACTTTAGATTGATAAAGAAACGTGTAAAACATGTAAAACAAATAAAACGTGTAATGTGCTTGATTTTGAAAAAGAGTTAGGCTATTGAAAGCACATGAAATAATTCAGTTCGGTACTCGCTGTCTGACAGATGGCTTTCTGTGTGCTTTTAGTACAGTAGTACAGTAGTTTATTTACTGAATTACTGACATTAAGTTTGGACTGTAAAGTTAGAAGAGAACTGATACTTTTGCCTATTTTCTCCTAAAGTTTTTTTTTATCCATTATCCAAAATCAAGTGGAGTTTTTTTTCTTGCCACAGCTGCCTGACATTAGGGGTCTAAATACATAGGCCTAGATAAGTCAAGTCAAGTCAAGTCACCATTATTTATATAATGCTTTTTACAATGCAGATTGTGTCTAAGCAGCTTTACAGTATTAAACAGGGAAATAGTGTGTTGAAATAGTGTGCCATTCTCCTCTGGCCAGACGAAACCAGCAGTTTAATTCTAGGCTGCAACAAAGTCAGATTGTTCAGAGGAATCATCTGGTTCCCGTGGACTATAATGCAATAAGTGATCGCTCAAATACTGAGGCACTAAACCATTCAGGGATTTATAGGTAATTGGCAAGATTTTAAAATGTATACCATGTTTAATAGGGAGCCAGTGCAGTGTTGACAGATCTGGGCTAATATGGTCATAATTCCTGGTTCTAGTAAGAACTCTAGCTGCTGCATTTTGGACCAGCTGGAGTTTGTTTATTAAGAGTGCAGAACAACCACCCAATAAAGCATTACAATAATCAAACCTCGAGGTCATGAACGCATAAATGAACGTTTCTGCATTTGCCATTGACAGCATAGGTCGTAATTTAGATATATTTTTGAGATGGAAAAAGGCAGTTTTGCAGATGCTAGAAATGTGGCTTTCGAAGGAAAGATTGCTATTAAATAGCACACCTAGGTTACTAACTGATGATAAAGAATTGACAGAGCAGCCATCAAGTGTTAGACTGTGTTCTAGGTTATTACATGTGGAGGTTTTAGGTCCGATAATTAACACCTCTGGGTTTTTTTTTTAATTTAACTGTAAGAAATTACTAGTCATCCAGTTTTGTATATCAACTATGCATTCTGTTAGTTTTGCAAATTGGTATGTTTCGTCGGGCCGCGAAGAAATATAGAGCTAAGTATCATCAGCATAACAGTGAAAGTTAACACCATGTTTCCTGATGATATCTCCCAAGGGTAACATGTAAAAGCGTAAAAAGAAACTGTCCTAGTACTGAGCCTTGAGGTACTTCATACTGCACTTGTGATCGATATGATCCCTCTTCATTCACTGCCACGAATTGATGGCGGTCAGATAAGTACGATTTGAACCATGCTAATGCACTTCCACTAATGCCAACATAATTTTCTAGTCTTTTCAAAAGAATGTTGTGGTCAATAGTGTCGAACGCAGTGCTAAGTTCCAGTAGCACTAATAGAGATATACAACCACGATTGAATGATAAGAGCAGGTCATTTGTAACTCTAATGAGAGCAGTCTCAGTACTATAATACGTTCTAAATCCTCACAGAGAATATTTTTCTAAGAAGGAAAATAGTTGTGATGATACTACCTTTTCTAATATCTTTGACAGAAAAGGGAGATTCGAGATCGGTCTGTAATTAATTAATTGTTTGGGGTCAGTTTGTGATTTAATAATGAGAGGCTTAATATCAGCCAGTTTTAAGATTTTTGGGACATATCCTAATGACATTGACAAATTAATAATATTCAGAAGAGGATCTATGACTTCTGGAATCATCTATTTTAGTAGCTTAGATGGAATAGGGTCTAACATACATGTTGTTGGTTTAGATGATTTAACAAGTTTATACAAATCTTCCTTTCCTACAGAAGAGAATGAGTGGAATTGTTCCTTATGGGATCTATAGCACACTATCTGATGTGATACTGTGGCTGATGCATAGACTGTATAAAAACATGGACGTAGTGTCTGTGACGTCACCCGTAGGTTTCTGAAGAGCATTTTTGAAGCTCAAAGTGGGCGGAGCCAGCAGTCGCCGTCTTGGCAGCCACGATTGGATGATAAGAGCAGGCCGTGGCATTTGTGGCAGTGAATGAAGAGGTATCATATCGATCACAAGTGCAGTATGAAGTACCTCAAGGCTCAGTACTAGGGCCGTTACTTTTTACGCTTTTACATGTTACCCTTGGGAGTTATCATCAGGAAACATGGTGTTAGCTTTCACTGTTATGCTGAAGATACTCAGCTCTATATTTCTTCGTGGCCGGGCGAAACATACCAATTTGAAAAACTAACGGAATGCATAGTCGATATAAAAAACTGGATGACTAGTAATTTCTTACTGTTAAACAAAAAAAAACCCAGAGGTGTTAATTATCGGACCTAAAACCTCCACATGTAATAAGCTAGAACACAGTCTAACACTTGATGGCTGTTCTATCAATTCTTCATCATCGAATCAATCCACTTCGCGTCACTCCTGGATAATCGAAAATGGGCAAAGAGGCAGGAGCTGGTTGCTGAAACCACGCCCACCTAGCTTGACGGTGGTGACAGCAGTGGCAATCCACCTGTCACTCAAGTGGCCACGCCTTTAATTATGCAGAACTTTAACTCTTAATATAATTTAAACGAATAAGTTATAAAAAAGTTCACCCCCCTCACAGTTGTCATGAAGGGCAAAATTAGCTATATAGACCAAAACCACTTTTTGTACCAGGCTGTAAACATATTTTTTTTTGCTGTAAAGTTGGGCATTTTAACATAGAGAGTCTATGGGACTGACTCCCTTTTGGAGCCAGCCTCTAGCGGCCAGTCGATGAATTGCAGTTTTAGTCACTTCCGTGTTGGTTTCACGAGAGAGACCAGAAGGTTGCCGCTTGGGCTGATGGCTATATGGCTACAATTTTATCTCTAATAGTATCGATCTTAGAAGTAAAGTAATTCATAAAATCATTACTACTATTCTGTTGGGAAATGTCTGCACCTGCTGATGTTATATTTTTTGTTAATTTAGCCACTGTATTGAATAAATACTTGGGGTTGTGCTTGTTTTCTTCTAAAAGAGTTGAAAAGTAATCAGATCTAGCAGTTTTTAAGGCTTTTCTGTAGGACAGGGTACTTTCCCGCCAAGCAATACGAAATACTTCTAGTTTTGTTTTCCTCCAGCTGCGCACCATTTTCCGGGCTGCTCTCTTGAGGGCACGAGTGTGCTCATTATACCGCGGTGTCAGACTGTTTTCCTTAATCTTCCTTAAGCGTAAAGGAGCAACCATATCTAAAGTGCTAGAAAAGAGAGAGTCCATAGTTTCTGTTACATCATCAAGTTTTTATGAGCTATTGGATATGCTGAGGAATTGAGATAAGATTATTCACAAAGCAGTCTATTGTGGTAGAAGTGATGGTTCTACCATATTTGTAACGAGGAGTAGAATTTACAGTTTTAGCTATATGGAGTTTACACAAGACTAGATAATGATCCGAGATATCATCACTCTGCTGCAGAATGTCAGCACCATCAACATCAATGTGCTCCTGTGGCTCAGTGGTAGAGCATTGCGTTAGCAGCGCAAAAGGCTGTGGGTTCGATTCCCAGGGAACACACATACTGGTAAAAAATGTATAGTCTGAATGCACTGTAAGTCGCTTTGGATAAAAGCGTCTGCTAAATGCATAAATTAAATTAAATTAATCAGTTCCATGTGACAGCATTAAATCTAGAGTATGATTTCGACAATGAGTAGGTCCTGACACGTGTTGTATAACCCCAATAGAGTTCAGAATGTCTATGAATGCTGATCCCAATGCATCTTTTTCATTATCAACATGGATATTAAAATCATCAACAATTAAGACTTTATCTGCAGCCAGCACTAACTCAGATATAAAATCAGCAAATTCTTTAATAAAGTCTGTATGGTGCCCTGGTGGATTTATCATTAACACCTGTTTATCTGGATAATGTTATATGAAGAACCATTACTTCAAACGAGTTACACTTGAAGCTCGCCCTCTGAGAAATACTGAAAACATTGTTATAAATTGAAGCAACACCTCCCCCTTTACCTTTTGGACGCGGCTCATGTTTATAACAGTAATCTTGGGGGGTAGACTCATTTAAAATAAT